TAGGGACGAAGGAGGTTGTTTAGGAACCCTAAAATGAGCTTTATGGGGTTTAAATACGAAGGGAACCTCTAAAAGATCATGGGCTTTGGCTACATCGTATCTCACGTCATGAGCTCTTATTGCTCACGTCGTGAGCCCTGATTAAATCAGAATCTTCATTTAACCACTCCTCACGTCGTGAGCCTTATATGGCTCACGTCGTGAGCCTTGGATTTACCCAAAAACCAAGTCTTGACTCCTTGAAGCCCTAAATCGATCTGATACAGAAATTTGAGTGTTACAAGGTACATATTGAACCAACATACAAATAGAAAAGTTAAAATGCACAAACAATGTAAAGGAAACTAACACTTAGACTACTCATGTACTACTCCACGACCTTGATCTTATGCATCCACACTTCCTAATCAAATCGTGTATCCTTGTAAAGAGAAAAACATCATTCAAATTTAACACTGCTTTATCTTCATGCTTCTTTATTATATGTTCTCTCTTTCCTCACACGATCTACAACGACTGTCTCCACCATGTGGAGTGAAAACCTTTGTTATGTCCTAAGTATATGCCTTAAACCACCACATCTTTGTTTCTTCAGTTTCTATGTGATTAAAGTCACTTCTATTGTATTTCTAAGTGTTGTTTCTAGTATCTTACACAATAAAGGTATATCACATGATTACTACAACATCCTCACTTTTGTGACCTTCATATCCAGCGTGTGTTCATTCTTAATAACATTTAGAACCATTTACGAAATAATAGCTTGAAAGGGTAGTAAAATTTTTAAATTTTTTCACATTTAGTCATTAAACTTTTTTCGTGCTTGATTTATCCTTGAATTATTTAAAATTGTTCACATTTTACCCTTATGACTGGTTATAATCGGGCATATGGTTAAAATGTGAACAATTTCAAATAGTTTAGCGGTAAATCAAGCACGAAAAAAAATTTCAATAACTAAATGTGAACAAAGTTGAAGGTTCGTTACCCTCTCAAGTCATTATCCCTTTATTTTATCTTTAGTTAATCTTCATGCATATTTTGCCTTTTCGTTATTTTATATCCATATCGAGTACTTTCTAGCTCTTAATCTTTATTATAGATATTTTGAGAAATGGGCGGAGCATGGAGGGAGATTCGGAAGACAAACAAAGTTCGAGCGGATGATAGGGACTATTGGAGCTTATCTAAGAGAGTTGGACTGAGGATAGATGTCATTGGATTTTTCTTTGAAGATTATATGCAAGAAACGTGGGGCTTGGATGATTGGATGATGAAGATTTATGGATTATGGATTATTGGTTTTCGTTGTTTAATTTAGGCTTTTGATGATGATAAGGAGAAGATGGACTTGTTTCGGATTACTTAATGTTGCAATTGGGCATCTAGGATCAGTCAAAGATGTCAAAGAAAAAGGAAAAAGAAGACCAAAGAGGAAAGGAAGACAAACAAAGTTTTCTCGGTCAACACATCTCACGAGGCTGCATGAGATTTTACATTGCAGCTCACTCGGCCGCGTGGCTCCTGCAGGGGTATTTTCGGATTTTCATGTTTTTTTTTTTTTTTTTTTTTTTTTTTTTTGCTATTTGAAGGTATTTTGGTTGGAGCTTTTGAGGCATTCTTCAATCAGGTTTTTGAACCTTTTCTCTGGAGTTTTGGAGCTCTTTAAGGTGGGAAGAACTTAAAGAAAATATCATATTTTCATCTGGATTCTTGTTGAATGTTTGGTATTTATAAAATCTTTCTCTTTTGTTTAAGCCTAGCCATGCTAGGCTACGCTCATTTTGGTTGATGTTGATTTAATCCATGGATGATTAGTTATTTTGAAGATTGTTTATAAACTTGTGCTTGAAGTTTATAGAAGTATTTTCTAGTTAAACATCTTTTTAAGTTTGTTTATCTTTAATCATGGTGTCGATGAATGAATGTTTAATTAGTTGGCTAATTTCTTGATTAAGTAATAGATCTTCAAATTAGCAAGCAACAAATGGTTTATGTGTTTGTTTTCATTTCAAATAGGCCATGGAAATACTTACTCCATAATGGTAATGTAAGCATTTGATTACCTTTTGGACTTGATGACTATTAAAACTTAATGTAATTGATTTTCACAAAATTACATACTTCATTAACTTTGTGACTTTGATTAAGAAAATGTGTTATGAGCTTCTCTAGCCATTTTAGTAACAAAGAAGAGTTGAGGTGATTTATGTTTTATAAATTTCTATAGCCAAGTTAAATGAAATCACAAGTATTGCATCATAACATCTAACGATAAGTTAACTAGTTGTCCATGTGGTGAATGTCAATATCAACCATATTTCTCTTCTGGATTTAAACCAAACTTTTTTACTTGTTTAGTTGTAATTCTGATATTTAAGTGTAATTCTAGTTTCTTTAAAAAGAACAAAAGACTAAAACCCTCATTTTACTTTAATTATCATTTTTACACGTATTTTACAAAGAGGTTTACATTGAGTAACAAATTGAACCAATCTCCGTGGATTCGATCTCTTTACTAGTATACAATATTTTAATGTACAAGGTTTAGGGTTATTTATTTTGTTGGTCTCGACAACCACCATCTATAATCAACTTTTTTTTAATGGTAAGGGGCGAAAAAAGTCGAAAACTTTGGCAGGTGCATTTTATTAGTTCATAGCGAGGGGAAATTCTCCAAAAATGATAGTTTTGTTTCATATTTATAGAATCGAACCCTAATTACATGGCTAATTGTTTCTGGAATAGTGGAAATGAGTGAAAAATTGGAATATATGCCATAGAAAGATGCAGGTAATCAAAGAAGAATGGATTACAAAAGACAGAGTCCATTGTGGGTGTAGTAACATTTTAGCGGTTTTAAAGTTTGAACTCCATGCATAAGGAAAATCCAGGTAGCCATATCTAAATATTTTTTGACAGTTTGAAAATTTTTTAATGCATTGTCATATAAATGTAAGGAATAAAGAAGGATGCATGGAAGGGAAAGTTTTATATTTTGTAGATATTTATGGTGGTGATCCTAATGATGACATGTGTGGCTTATGTGGCTATGGTGGTGATTTGATCATTTATTGTGATTGTTGTCTGTCCATATTTCACTAGAGCTATTTAGGCATAAAGGTACTTCATTGTTACTAACCTAATGTTTAAACATGTATACCTTTCTTGAAAATTGGATAAATTTTTTATGTTTTTCTGGTAAATCTCCGATAAAGTCTCAATATTTTAGGTCAGTTTACAGTAGAGATGCGAATTATTTGGTCTAGAACCGAAAAACCCAAAAACCAAATCGAATCAAAATCGATTTCAGACCGAACCATATTCAAATTCGGTTTTCGGTTTGGTTCAGAGACTAAACCGAATTGTGAATTTAGTTTTTGGTTCGAGTTTCGATATCATGAAGTTTAAACCAATCGGAACCGAAAAAAACGAATTTCATAAATTAATTAATTAAAAAAATATTTTATATTTTATATTAAATAAAAGTATTATATAAAGTAAAAATCATTTTAACCTATTTACTACTTGGATCATTTTGTATGAAACTTTAGATATTTCTGTTTGCAACTTTAGGTTTCTATGTTAAAAACATTTTATTTATGTATGAAATTTTTTTAAGTTTATATCTGGTTTCCTCGGTTTTCAAACCGAACCAAACCGAATTAGAATTTGGTTTTCGGTTTGGTCTAGAGAATTTGAATTCGATTTGGTTCGGTTTTCAAATTGTACCAAAAAAAATTCAACCCAAGGAAACCAATTCGAGGAAACCAAAAAACTGAACCGATTCTCACCCCTAGTTTACGGTTTAATCTTAACTTTTATTTTTTGAACAGAAAAGACCCGATTATTTTATATTTTTGCCCAAATTAACAAAACAGCTTTTATTTTTTTTTCAACGGAAAATGATAAATTATCGTATAAAATTAGATAACCAAGACTTTTATGTTCAAAAAATAAATGTTGAAATTAAATCGTATACTGACTTAAAATATTGAGACTTTGTCAGAGATTTCCTTTTTTTTTTCTAGAAGTTTCCCAATATTGTCACTATAGAAATTGTTTTTGTGTAAATGACCAACGCAAATTCTGCTGAAGCCAGCAAATTTTGATTAAAAGATAACTTTATGGCATGCAAACATTATTTTGGAATCGAGACATTACACAAATGGAGGGGGACATGCAAGGCAAAAAAAAAATATAACTCATTAAAGTATATCCTTTAAAAGGACATGCCACCTCTCAATCTTACATTATATAAATCAACTCTTGCTATCACATGGCAGTAATTAACATGTTAGATCAAATGTAAAAAAAAAAAAAAAAAAAATTTAAAAAAGATATGGTTAAAAGTTATTGTTGAGATACCTTTTAATTTACCACATATATAAGAAATATCAATCTAATTTTTATTTATTTATTTTTTTTTTGTGTGCGTATTGTAGCATTCTACTTAAAACAATTTTCATGTTATAGCATCCTACTTCATTTTTTCAGGGTTTTTGCATTCCTGCATGCTACTTCATTTTCCCATCTCATTTTTTTGGGGTTTTTCCATTCGTTGTATTTAGTATAGAAGAAAACCTTTGTCTTTGCTAAAATGACGAATAGTTGTACTTTCATTTTGTGCAACTAGAACATAGTAAGCAAAACCTCTATCAACAATGGACGAACACACCTGCGTCCCCCGCGAAACGGAGAGCACACAAATTTTTAGGTACAATCAAATAGCAATATATAGGAGCACCACACTATATGACTAATTTTGATACAGTTAGTCTTTTATTCATTTAGGATATAGATAAAAAAAACACAAAATAGATAATAAAGGTAGCTATTACATAACCATCAGCAATAGTAAAATGTTCACAGACGAATCCAGAATGCAGAACTGGTGTTTAGAAGTCTCCAGCTCAAAAAGGATCACAAAACTAAACCAACACACATTAGAACCTTGAGTTAATAAACTATTGCGAGACCTTTTCAGCATATTCTAACAGTTAGAGAAAGTTCCACTTTTCAATTCTTATACTTTTTGTATGACCTGTGGATTTCACTTCAGCGGAGACATTGAGAATACCATTGGCGTCTATGTTAAAGCAAACCTTTACCTTTTGTTCCCTTGCAGGGGCTGGAGGAATGCCAGGAAGCACAAACGAGCCAAGGAAGATGTTTTCTTTGGCCTTTTTGCTCTCCCCCTGATATATAGCGATTTTCATAATCACTTGGTTGTCCAATAATGTCTTGTAACTGCGCTGCTTGATGGTGGGTATGGGTGTGTTCCTTGGGATCACAACACTCATTTCAATCCAATCGCTCTCAATGCCAAGGGAGAGAGGCGTCACATCTTGTAATATCAATCCACGCACACTTTCATTTCCATTACCACCTAAGTTTGCAGCCAACACCGCTGCCCCATAAGCAATAGCTTCATCCGCGTTAATGCTCTTGCATAGTGGCTTTGAGTCAAAGAAGTCCATCAACATTTGTTGTACTTTGGGAATCCGTGTAGACCCACCAACAATAACTACATCATCAACATCTTTCTTATGCATATTCCCATCTCTCAAACAATTCTCCACATGCTTGATACACATCTTGAAGAAAGCTGCATTTAGCTCCTCGAATTTTGCCCTCGTGAATTTCATACAAAAATCAATTCCCTCGTGCAAGGAATCAATTTCAATTGATGTTAGGGTGGTTGATGACAGATCCCTCTTCGCTTTTTCACAAGCAACTTTCAACTTCACCATTGCTCTTGCATTCTTACTCATGTCCTTTTCTTTCTTCATGAATAGCTGGACACAGTAATTCACCATTAGGTTGTCAAAATCTTCGCCACCTAAATGAGTGTCACCACCCACAGCTTTAACACTAATGTTGCCAGCCTTGCTGATATTAAGAAGAGACACGTCAAATGTTCCTCCACCCAAATCAAAGACCAAAACATTCTTTTCTTGACGATTCTTGTCAGCACTCTTATCTATTCCATAAGCGATTGCTGCTGCTGTGGGCTCACTAATCAAACGCATGACATTGAGGCCGGCCAGTGTAGCAGCATCCTTAGTTGCCTGTCGTTGTCTATCACTAAAATATGCAGGAACAGTAATCACTGCATCTGTACATGTTGTTCCGATGAATGCTTCAGCAGACTCTTTCAGTCTTTTTAGAATCATGGACGATATTTCTTCAGGTGAAAGCTTCTTAATTTCTTCCCCGTTTTCAATCACAAGCATTGGCTTATCATCAGACCCTTCAACTACCTTAAAAGGCCATGATCTAATGTCATTCTGCACCCTAGTTTCACTGAATTGGCTTCCCATTAAGCGTTTAACATCTGGAAATTGGTAAAAGAAATGGCATAAAGTTCATCGGTTCAAAGATTAGATAGTAAAACAAGGGAATGGTTAGGGTTTTATCTTGTCCGCGGAATGAAGGTTTGATTGAACGAACTTACCAAAAACTGTGTTTTTAGGATTTCTGCTGATTTGATTTTTGGCTGCCTCACCTACTAAGAATTCTGTCTCATTCCAAGCTACGCATGATGGAGTAATCTTGTTACCTTGTTCATTAGGAATGATCTCAATTCGATTATGCTTATCAAACCAGACAGCAACACAGGAGTATGTTGTTCCAAGATCAATTCCAATTGCATTTCTTTCAGCCTTTGTGGACATCTTCAAAGACATGTAGTTGTAACAAAGGATGTGATGAATGAATGGATTGCGGGACAGAAACCATCAGAGTTTTAAAAACTAAACATGGAAATGAATTCTTTTTAACTTTTGAAAATGTGAAGTAAGGAGAAATCCGAGGGATCCTGTTAGATGAATATTCATTTTCTAATTCAAAAGATTTGCACCATATTTGAATTCTAATGTACATCTAAATAGGATAAAGTTTGTTATGGATATGTACGTTAGTACGTATATTCATTTCAAGGATTTTTGTTTCATTGAAATTAAGTTTTTCATTATGGATACTCTAATCATGTCAAGGAGTTATGGATCGTTTGTTTTTTATAAAAATAAAAAAACAAATAATAGAAAACTGTTTGTATAAAAATGGTTTCATGTCGTTGTTCCGCCAACAAACTAGATCCGATTTGGTCACTAATATATTTTTTAGATGTTAAAAATCCTTAAAATTAGAAATGATTTTAAAGAGCATTGAGACAAAGTTTGGTAAGAGAAATGGAATTACATAGAAATATAGAGAAAAAGAATTAAACCAAGAGAAAAAGAATTGTTTCCATTATTTGGTACAATTATGAATTCACCAAATGTATATGATAATTTTTTTTGTTTGGTTGTATTAAACAAGAAAAGATAAATAAGCTTTTTACAATTTTTTAAACAACATTTTAATTTTATATTAATATCATTATGAGTTATATATTAATTTGTCAAATTATATATTATTTAAGTTTTTAATTTTGTCAATAACGTTCTGCCATTTATTTTTTATAATTGCTAATTAACATTATATTATATATATATATATATATATATATATATATATATATATGTATGTTCAAATGAGAACAATTCTTATATTGAGAACATTTGAGAACAAATTTCAACTACACATCTAAAAAAAGGAACGCGTCATTTAAGTGCTAATGAAGAAAGGGGTTATCTGTAATTTAACTAATGATTCCATATGCTTTGTTTTTCACGCACAAACTTAGTGACACCCTTCTCTGGTCCTGCCCTCTGCCCAACACCGACTCCTCCCGTTATGCCCCTCCGACATTGACCCCGCCTCCTAGTGCTTTTCTTCTTCCTATGAACTTTCATCTATGCACGATACTTGTTCTAGAAATTCAATGCTCAAACTCAACAATCTGATCTTCCGAAGGTACTATCACTACTCTCTCTCTCTCTCTCTCTCTCTCTCTCTCTCTCATTAGCACGTTCTAGTTTGATTTGTACTCTGATCACGAAAACAATGGATCTGATCGAATTATGAGTCAGATTCATGATATTGTGAAATCTGACATCGTTCCATTTATAATCATGAATCGTTTCTTCTTTATGCTAATTGTTGGTGTCAATCATAAATGAAAATAGTAAGCTCTAAGGGCTGGATTGGAGTCTATTAGAGAGTTGATTATCACTGTAGGATTTCATGCACACAAGGTGTTTGTCATATTGTCTGAAAGAACCTAATAAATGTAAAAGTGGCATTTTATGTGAAAATCCTTAACTTTGAACCCTCATTAAGCCAAACATTAAGGTCCTTAGGTTAAATTGAATTTCACGTCTCAATATCCTAATGAGTAACCAAAATAATGTTAAAAGTGATAAACTTAAAGCTTAACCATTAAGTACTTAATAGAACACCAAAAGTGATTTAAAAGCTATTATGATCAATTTTCCCAAATCTGTCCTCCAACTTCTAAATTCGTGCAAGTCATTAGGAACACCTAAAAATCATGAGACTTATTTTTATGGAAATATTATTGTGTCTATTTTCTTCAAACTTTGAATCACATTTCGAAATTCCAAATCCTTGAGGGGTAAAATTGGCAATCTTCTCAGTTTGGTCCATGCTGTCACAGATTTTATGCATTGTCTTCAAAAAATCATAATAAATTCATCAGAACTCCAAATGTCAAAATTCAAAATCCTATAGTTATATATGGATGTATAGTTTCCCATATATAAAAGGTCTGATGTAATTCTTAGTAGATTGGTACAGTTTATTCCAATAGTGTTGAGTGGTCCAGAATGTGACAGCTTAAAGTTACTAACTTATAAATTTGATATAAAATCAACCAAAAATCATTAGAATGAGATCTTTATATTTCTGAAAAGATAAAAGAGGGAACTTTACCAATATGATTTTATGGAAATTTAATAATGGGTTGAAAGGTAAGAAAATAGATCCCAAAAGAGCACTACAATCAAAGAGAAAATAAGAAAATATATACATAAGTTTTATAAGAGTAATAGAACAAAGCACAAGCTAAATAATGTTGTGATTGTTGTGTAGGTTCTCGGAAAGGAAAGGATCCATCTTGCTCATGCTAGCTAATTTTCAAGTTCAAGGAGGCGAGTTACACTAACTCTCCTATTATGTAGGCATTACTTGTTTTATTATATTGTTTACGGTTACCCTAATCCGGTAGCTAGAGTGAACAAGGAAAGGCAAAATGTAGTTTGTTTTTTAGTGTGACATGCAGTCACGATTCATTTCCACGTTCTCGATTCGTTAATTGTTCTCGTGTATTAAATCACATGCGATTATATGATCTAATCACATATGACTTATATGCACAAGATTCATTTTTGTGTTTTCGATTCAATAGTTGTTCTCTGTCCATATTAATCATATGTGATTAAATATATAAAATGACATATGATTAAATACATGATAACAACTATTGAATTGAGAACGCGAATTTGAATCTTATTCGCATAAATCATATGTGATTAGATACGTATAATCACATGTGGTCAAATACATGAGAACAACTATTGAATCGAGAACACAAAAATGAATATTGTCCACATAAATCATATGCGATTAGATACATATAATAACATGTGATTATGTGTATCTAATCACATATGATTTATGTGGCTAAGATTCATTTTCGCATTCTCGATTCAATAATTGTCTTTTTTCCACTTTAATCATATGTGATCAAATACATTTAATCATATGTTATTATATGTTGCTAATCACATATGATTTTATTTGGAAAAAATTAATATTGTCTATATAAATCATATGTGATTAGATACATACAATCACATGTGATTATATACATGGTAACAAATATTGAACCAAGAACACAAAAACAAATCATTATCCAAATTAATCATATGCGATTAAATACATGTAAACACATGTGATTATATGAATCTAACCACATATGATTTATGTGTACACAATTCATTTTCACTTTGTCGATTCAATAGTTCTTCTCGTGTATTTTATCACATGTGATTATATGTTTAATCATATGTGATTAAGTACATGAGCACAACTATTGAACCGAGAAGGCGAAAATGAATCTTGTCCACCTCAAAGCATATGTGATTATATACATATAATCACATGTGATTAGATACACAAAAGCAATTATTCAATCGAAACCGTAAAAATAAATATTGTCTACATAAATCATATTTCATTAAATACATATAATCACATGTGATTATATGTATCCAATCATATATATATATATATATATATATATATATATATATATATATATATATATATATATATATATATATATATATATCTATATATATGGATAAGATTCATTATCACATTCTCGATTCAATAATTGTTCTTTATCAACTGTAATTATATATGATTAAATACAACTAATCACATGTGATTATATGTATCTAATCACATACGATGTATATGGACAAAAAATAATGATGTCTATATAAATCATATGTGATTAGATACATATAATCACATAAGATTATATACACGAGAACAACTATTGAATAGAGAACACAAAGATAAATATTGTCCACATATATCATATGTGATGAAATGCATATAATCACATGTGATTACATATATCTAATCACATAGAATTGATGTGGAAAATATTCATTTTCGCGTTCTCGATTCAGTTGTTGTTCTTGCATATTTAATTACATGAGATTGTATGTATCTAATCATATATGATTTATATGGAGAATATCCGTTTTCACATTCTCATTCAATAGTTGTTCTTGTACATTTAGTCACATATAATTGTTGGTTTTTGAGCATTCTAACACTCCTATGGTGTACATGCAACCCTAAATACCTTGGATCTATGTTTTCTCTATTATACATGCAAATATCAATTTCCAAGGTATTACCCTAACTAGCATACAATTATATGTACTAGGATAACAAAAACTGGATAGAAGACATACCTTTTGATGTAGCTTGATTCCATGGAGCTCAAGAGCCTAGTGCCCCAAGTGTGACACCTCAAATGGTTCACACAACACCATGAACATTTGGAATAACCATGAGAGAAGATACTTGGCTCATAGAAATCGGCTTGCCCTCTTGTGTATCCACACTAGTGCCGATTTCACCAACAATGGGGTTTTTATATAGTGTGCACATTAGGGTTACACCATGTAACCCATGACTTTACCCATTCCTTATGCTCCATGGGTTTTAACCTCCATGGAGTATCCATGGGTCACCACATGGGTTAAACCCAACATAAGGAATCATGGATCATAAGCCCACATATATAAGAATGAATGATTTACACAATCAATCCCCATATATTTAATTAGTCTCTTTTGATCACTAATTTAATTCCAAATTAATTCTTGATCAATACGAATTAAATAACATGATTACATATTAATATATTAGAACTTATAATATATTAATATGTCACTAATATCCTCTTCTCACAAAAGGTCTACTTAAATTGTTCCGATGCCATGCAACCCAAATGGACCATGTCGGGTCGGGTCAAGTATATACCAATTATAGTTATGGACTTAGACACTAATCCAACAGTCTTCCACTTGGATAAGTCTAATAACTATTATTGCAAGTACGACTTCATAACCCGACTAGCAATCGTAGCTCTTGAAAGTTGTTGTCGAACTCTGAACAAATCAATAACGCTTCCATTAGATAAGTGATCATATATTCCTCCATTCTAGATATCATATGGACTGAGACATGGATTATAATC